ACCCAGGGACGGCAGCGTGAGGTGGGAAACCCAGCACTGTCACCTCTTGGGTACCAGGCTTCTGCTTCTGGCTCCTCACAGGCTTGTCCAAGAGGGCTTTGCTGCCTGGGGAGGAAAACTCTGCCATTCCCAGAGGTGGCCCCTGCTCTCCTCAGCACAAGAAGACTTTAAATTTAGGATTGAAGAAGCATTATAGACTTTCTGCTGCTAAACACAGCGTGGTCTCAAACACCACCTCCTAAAGTAGCTACAAGGAGACCCGAGGGTCAACCCTGCAGGGACAGACAAGGAGACAAGGGTGTTTGTACCCTGAACACCAGTGTGTTGGCACCAGCCTGTGCCCTCTTGCCCCAAAGTCTGGTTTTGATCACGGATTTAACAAGAAAAGCCTGAGCTGTGGCACAAAGAGCCACCCTGAGCTCAGCATGGGCCAGACAACAGAGAGACAACAAGGGACAACGACCTCCTACTGAGGCACCCCTGCTGTGTCCCAGCCCAGGTCTCACTGAAGGTTAAGGTGAGGGATCTGCTGGGAAACATCATCCTCCTGCAAAAGGGAACAGAAAGAACCAGGAAGTCCATTATCTGCATTTGTCCATCCCTCCCCCAGCACCGCGTGATGCCAGCTTGGTGTCGAGAGAGACCGCTGCAGTTTGGCCAAGTACCGCAGCCAGGGAGGGACAGGGGTGGCAGCCAGTCCCGGCCAGACCCTGTGATCTTCTCCAGGGACAGCCCTCATGAAGGGTCCTCTGCACAGCCCTGGTGGGCAAGGAGGGGTGTCCAAACACTCGCTCTAGGAAGCGTGGGGCTTGTTGGCACACAGCCTGCTGGCATCCTCCTGCTCCCAGGAGGGGGAATCCTGCATTTCGTGACACTAAACAAAGGGAGCCGTGGATGCAGGGGAGGTTTCTGGCAGGGACAAAGCTACGGTACATCTGGGGACAATCTGAGAGCAGTGACACCCCAAAGCTCCCCGATGGTGGCGTTGTGACACACAGTGTCCAGGGGCGGCCAGGAAAGGCTCCAGATGCCCTCGGTCCTGTTAAAGAGTTAAAAGCCCATGGTTGTAATGGGGCTGGCGAGTCCGTGGCTTTGTGTCCCTGGAAAATCCACACGTAGGGAACATCCTGTTTGGGGGCCGGGCAGCCCAGCGCGGCGGCTGGCAGGACGCCTGGTGAGGGCAGGAGCCCATCTCTCCCCTTTCCCCAGCGAGTTTCTCAAAGAGGCTTTGTGGTGGGGACTGTGTCTTTGTGGCGAGGCTGCTTCTCTGGAAGCAGAAGTTCCTGCAAACCCGAGCCTTTCTGCCCCCCAGCCCGAGGGCCAGCTGCTAAGGAGGACTTCCCAGCCCACCCACCTCCGGCTGGAACTCCTCAGCCTTGGCTCCCACCACAGGTGACAAATCATTTCCAGTGTGTCTAATAGATAAGAGCTGCAGAACAAGGAGGAAGGCACGTTCCTGGCTGCCAGGGTTGCTGCGGCAGGAGGCTGCAGCCCAGTGAAAAATAGGAATTAATTGCAAAGCAATTCCTGGAGGCCGCCCAGTCCCGCGTGCCAGCTGTCTGCTGCGGGAGGGCAGGCACAGGCCACACTGCTCCTGTTTCACAGGGGCACAACTACAGTCAGATCAGCTTAAGGATAAACAGAGATGGGAGGAAGGCAGACGTCACCTTAACCTGCCTGATCCCCCCAGAGGAAAAAAAAAAAAATATATATATATGTGAGTATACAAAAATCTTGTAACAACTTTAGAAACTTTGCTCTGAACAAGTTGGCCAAAAGGATCTCCTCTCCCCTTCACTTCTTCCCTTTCCCATTACGCTACCAATTGATTTCCTTAAAAGAAAGGGACACTTATTCATACACTTTCCTCAAAGTGCTACCTGAGGTGTCCCGAGGTGTCTGTTCGGCTGGTTCCTGCCTCTGCCACCCTCCTGCTGCGACGTGACCACCCGGGAGAGGGGAGAGCAGAGCCCGGGCACAGCCTCACCCCCGAGCTCCAGCCCACGCTCTGCACCCACCGGTTTGAAAGCTGTCTCCAAAGCTGCCCTCTTTGGACCAGCATTTTGCTAGTAAGAAGCCATCTTCCCTCTAAAAATAGCATCCTCTTCCTATTATAGATACCGTTCTCCCTTTTCTAGTCTCCAAGATTAATTAGTCATTTATTGCGTTCACCCCTTCTTCCCCTCCGAAGCCCTTTCATGCTATGTATCATCTCTTTAAACATTTCTCCCCCTCCTCTTTCCCAGTGTTGGCAGCTTGGCCAGCCTCCCCCAGCTCACCGCTCCCAAGGGCTCACCAACAGATGGAGACACAGCAACAGCCATCGGTGCCGTGGCCATCAATGCAGCTTCCCAGCCCCAGTGAACAGGAGACTGCAAGAAAACCACCCGGCAGTTGTTTCAGACACTTCCCAAAACGTGTCTTCTCTCTTTCCATCAAACCCAGCCCCAACCTGGCTCCCCGTGGGCACACACTGCTGTGGCAGAGCCATGTCCTCCTCCCAGCTCGCCCCCTCCGAGCCACCGCTGACCCATCTCTGCTGCTCCCAACACCCCGCCTTTTACCCGGGGGAGCAGAGGAAGCCACAGGGCACATTTTTCTAGAGAAAGCAAAAGGCCTTGAGGAGTCTGCACCTTCCATCGGGATCTTCCCACAGCAGGCTCTGCACCACCACAACCTACTCACGAGTGACCCGCTGGATCTCCAGCCCACATGGCCCAAGCAGTTTAAAAAAAAAAAAAAAAAATACAAAAAACCCCAAAACTTTAAGGTATCTTTACCACAAAAGGAAAACATGTGAGAATGTGTTTCTATGTAACCTGATGGCTTTGGCTTCTCATTCCCCTCTGATGAGACCAAGGCTCCAGGGCTGGTTGCTTGGTCCTCCTGAGTTGCAATGCCCTTGCCTGCTGCTTTGATGAGAGTAGACAATTAAGGTGGGATTTACCAGAACAATCATGCAAAATGAGTCTCTGTGACAGAAGGCCCCTCTCACAAAACCCAGTTTAAAAAAAAAAAAAAAAAAATACACAAGAGGTTATAGATTCACTTCAAAAGAACTTTTTTTTTTTTAATTTAGAAATGCAGTTATATACATAGAACAATTAAATTAAACTTTGTACAAATATTAAAATACTATCTTCACACCCACTGCAATGTACAGGATACCGGAAAATATATATATATAAAATAAAGCAAAATAAAACCGATTGAGTGACATCCTGCACAGCATCAATTATGGTTTTGTTTTTAAATCCCACATATATATGGAGTACCATTCTGCAAATAATCCCATAGTGGTGCAATTCAGATAAAAAGAAAACACATACAGGAAAGAAGAAAAGATTAATGCACAAAGGCAATCAAAGCTCCCCTCGCATTTGCATCAGCAACGACCAGCAGCCACCCACCCACCGCACCCCAGGACACCTGCTTCACGCACAACTTCGCTTTGTTTGCTTTTGGAAGGAAGCAAATTCGAGAATCGAAACGGAAAGGTTTTCCAGCACAACTCAGTTGCCCCTGTCCTTGCTCACCGCAGGCAGAAGCCAAGCAGAGCATGGGTGGAAGCTGTTTTGGTGGGTACGTCCATCCCTACGTCACCTGCAGAGGGCTGGGTTCAGAAGCGGCGCTGACCACAGGGCCCTGAAGAGAAGTGTGGGAAGGGGCATGCTCCCTCCCGGTGTGGAAGGGCAGGAGGAGGGGGTGGAGGATTGGAAGGGGGCTTATTTCCTATATAAAAATATGCTTTAAAATGAAGCCTGCTCTAGGAAACCTCTCTGCGCTTCCAAAGCGTATCATAGAGAATAAATGTTTTCTAACAAAGTCCTTTCTGCAAACAAAGGTGTTCACAAAGAGCAAGTTCAATCTGCAGTTCCCTGGTGAGGACTGAAGGGCGAGGATGGGGTGAGGCAGGATGTGCAAAATGGATGGGTTTTATTGCATTTATATACAGAAACCAGAAAGTGAAATAGATTTAATAAGTTATCTGGATAGAGTAATAAGGCAGATTTTTTTTTTTTTTAAACAACTGCTATCAGAAGAATAAAACCAGGTTCTGCAAATACGTTCTAAAAAGGTCACCAAGGAAAATCTCACTGCGTCCAACCAGTTGTATGTTAATTTTTAATTTTTTTTTCACATAGCGATCCTGCTGGTGTCTGCCAAATCAGTTAAACAACACACAAGCCTCCTCACAACCCGGCCACAAACGCATTGGCCCAGCAGCCTGCAGCAAACCTCTGCTTTCAGTCACAGCTCTCCTTGCCCCCTACCTTGTGTCCCCTGTCGCCCCACTCCTCAGCACTGACCCCAGCCACCCACCTCTGGGAGCATCTGGGGCTGTTGCCTCCCAAGGCAAGCGGAACAGATCCCTTCCCAACACGTCTGACTCCTCCGCGCGCTGAAAGGCCACATCCCGGCTCCAGGTGCATTCAAACAACCACCCCAGTGGAGCTGAAAGGCTAAGGAAAGACCTCAGGGGACACATCCAAGGGGTAAACACCCAGCAGCACGCTTGCTGAGCAAGCATTCTTCTACACAGCAAGTTCCCTGGTGGTTAAAAAAAAAAAAAAACCAAACCAAAAAAGGATAAAAATGCATTAAGCTCTTCTCCTTCCCAAACTCACGAAGTTTTCCCTCAGCCAACAACTCCACAGGCTCAGCACATCTCCTGGCTTCATTTTTTACCTCTTCTACAGTCAATGACGGGGACATACAAGCTATTTAAAGCCAGAAGGCACAAACCCATCCCTCTGCCCAACACCACTGACCCCCTGCACGGCGGCAGGAGGCTCATCCCTCGTGCTGGGCTCCGTGATGCTGATCCCAACAGGAGACTGTTCTGCTTCCCCACGGGTCACCCACAGCTGCACCTGCTGGTTGTCTCACACCGGCCCAAGGTCTGAAACACCCGGGCTGGGAGCACTGAACTAAGTTGCATTTTATTTATTTTTTAAAAAAACTATGCAACTGAAAGGGAGCGAGGAGGTTTGTTTTTCTTTATTGCACATACTACTTTGAATTTTTGAAATGCCCTTTTAATTTTTTAACCGATCAGACTCCAAATATAACAGAAGCCTTTAAAATAAGTGCTATTTCTATGTCTCCAATGTAATGAAATCATTTATATGGTTTTGAATATCACAGGATGTGGCATGTATGACAGAACACGAGATGATTGTCGGGAGTGTTTAATAAGAAAAAATGCCTCCCTTTGAATTTTTTTGCCAGATATTGGTGGGCAAAACAGTAAGGAGGGCTGTGGGTCCATCAGAAAAGAAAAAAAAAAAACAAAAGAAAAAAAAGAAAAATCATTTACTGTGTTACATCTTGTAATTCCGAGCCCTGTGTCACCCACCCACTGCACTGAGGTCCAGACTGCATCTACCTGTGGCACCAGCCAACGAGGACACACTCTGCTCAGAGGTAAGGAACGCTCCTGAGGGAGCAGAGCTCATGACTGAGGGGCTTTATGCCCCAGCCCTTGCTCCCGTAACTAAAGACAGGGCTGTGCAATTCAGCTTTTCCTATATCTCTGCCCAGAAGACTTCCCAGCCCTTCAGCCTCCGCAGAATGAAAACACACAGGAATGAGTAACAATCACTTGATCACCAGTGAAGTGAGGCCTTGCTCCCCTCCTCTCTCCTCCTTGGAGAAAAAAAAAAAACCTGTCAAGCAGACATCTCCCAGGTTCCTCCCCAGCCACCCTACCTCATCTTACATGAAAATAAACCCTAAAGCTGAGGATTTGGGCAAGAGGAATGTGATGCCCCCAAACTGGTTGTCACGGGTCCTTGGGAGCTGTTTCCCCAAGTGCTGCCCTGGGGAACAGGCTCTCCTGCAGGTGCTGGAGGCATCAGCCAGGGTTACACCAGCCAGCACGGCAGAGACTGGCCTGGGAGCTGCTGGTTTGCCCTCAGGAAGCCACCAGAAGCTGCCTGTTTATGCCTGATCACAAGATCTATGCCTGCATATTTCCCTCCACCTCCACATTTCCCCCCCCCCACCCTTAGCAAAGCCATTTCCCACAATTTCTATAAATGAAACAAAATTAAAGCCCTCCCTCTCCTGTGCGGCTTCCTCCTCTTCCCCACCCAAATTGAATTTTCTTTCCCAAACCGGCAGCTGCTGGACAATGGCGGGGAGAGGAGGTCGGGCCAGGCAGTACGTGCCTTCTGCTGGCAGAGCAGGCACTTGTCCAGGGCAAGGGCAGGCCTCGGGAGCAGCTTCCAGCTCCACATGGGATTGTCACACCAACCTGGTGCCAACACTGGGCTAAAGGACTGTCCCCTGCAGGCAGATGGCACCTACATCCCGAGTGCTGAGGGTCAGTTTGAGCAGGCAGGACCTTAAAAGCATAAAGAGCAACTCCTCTGGCCTGGAGGTGGCCAGGCAGCAGGAGAGAAGTCACATATTCTTCCCCTCGAGCTCCTTCACCCTTACCCCTACACGTCTTGCCCTGATGGAACCAGTGAGTGAGACAATTTGCTCAAGCTTAGACTATTTCCAAGACAGGAGTTAAAAGCTAAATACAAACATTCCATGCTTATTTTTAAAAATTCCAATAGCAGATGTGTAAACAGCACTTGCCCTCCACAGTACGTGAAGGCGAGACACCCCAGCCCACTGTAAAACCACATGGGATCTTCATCACCCAAACTGAACAAAAAACCCACCCAAATCAGACTTATCAAATCCTTGTGTTAATGCAAGGTAACATGAGCAACAGGGAAGGAAGTTTAAAAAACTGTATTTTTAAATTAATAACGTCCCTCTAAAACAAGGATAGGGAAAATAGGATTCTTTCATCCCCAGGCACAGGCTGTCCCAGGTGTCCCGGGATGTAACAGCTCCTCAGGAACAGGAGCAGCGGGTGCGTGGCTGGATCCTGTGGCTTAGCTCCAGTTCCTGGAAGTGGGGATAAGCCACAGAGATTTTACACATACAGGTGCTGCGCCACTTTTATCAAGCGCTGTGACGGCACATTCCTGAAACAACACGGATGAGGATGGTGAGGATCAAAACTCAAAAGCAAAGCAGCAAAGACAGCATCCCTATTTACCTGTATATTGCCACACGGTGTGTAAGGCCATGTCATTTCGCTCCGTCAACTCAAAACTTTAGCAGCTTCTCACAGGGCAAACACTCCCCTCGTTACTTCAAGACAGTTATGACAAGGTACATGCATCTAAGAAGCCAACCCTTCTTGCTGAAACCAATCCCAGGGACCACGGTGTCCAGACCTCCCCGCTGAAGAACCTACAACCACCACAATGCTGTTGGGACTGGATCACCTACCCCAGATGAATGTGGCTTCCTGCAAAAAAGGGGTCCTGTTAATAGCAACCAGGATACTCTGACTGCTATAGATAACTGGGGGGGGGCAGAGGTATACATATTTTTGGATTTTCTTTTTCCTGCAACCAGAACTTGAAACAATCTTCAAAACTTAGGTGGAGGGATAAGCTATGGTGTTTTCTGGCACTGCTGTCAATGTAGCCACCTGTAGTTCCCTCACAGTAACAGTAAACTGTGTGGTATTCAGGAGAGACTTTACACATGCTGGACAAGGAAGATGCCCTTCTCTGTGGGCTCAACAGTAGAAAAGAGCAGACTCTTGCTGTATGAAGCTTGGAAGATACACCAGCCTCTGCAATGGTGACTACCCAGGATTGAAGCACCAAGGTACCCAGTGTGGCTGGAAAGGTAACTGGGGATGGCACCAACGGCACTAGGCATTCACTACCTATGGGCATTTTTTCTCATGACATTTTCAAACACCTGAACCACTTCCAGATTACATTGGAAAAGTGTTACCTCTGCCTGAAGATCTGACCAAAAGGAACCTAAGCTTTAGTGCAGAACCACCTTGCTTGAAAAAGCTTTGAGACATACAGCTTACTCAGCAGAGCACGGCCACAGATTTGGTTCCAGTCCTGACATCTCAGTGAGGAGGGCTCACTCCCAGGTTAACACAGGGCCAGGCAACTGAAAGTCACACCCTCCAAGCTTTCTGGACCTTGCTAACCACAGCCCGTTCTCCAAGGCTCTTCTACAACCCAACATCAGGAGCTGCTCTGGCACCAGCCCAAAGCTGAACGAGTTGGTTTATTGGCAGTACATCCCAGTGCCAGCTTCCAGAAACACAGCATGACCAAGTGGGCTGCGCGGGCAGAGAAGGAAGGAGGAGACAAAAGCGATTGTGAGGAAGGGACTCCTGCAGAGATGGTTTTTGGGAGAGGGGGTCAGAGGGCATTCCTACACGTTGGACTTCTCAGCCTTCAGCGCTCTAGCAATTCTCAATGAGCTGTCATGGCACAGCTAGGTTGTCACACAGCCCATCTCATCTGAGGCGCTTCTAGACATCACAAGCTGCCCCTTAACTGGGATCCCTCCCAAGCCCAGCTTCAGTCCCAGTGAGGCGTTTTTGTCCTGCCCTATTTTCACAAAGAGGATGCTGGAAGAAGAGCCTATATAACATATATACGTATATATAAAGTGTGTCTGCACCCAGTGAGCAAGCGGTTTCAGCCCCGGCTCTCTGGGCAGCTGAAGGGCTAGAGAGGCTGATAAGCTGCAACAAGCCGGTGTGAGGAGGAGAAAGGCACGAGAAAAGAGCAGCTCTTCAGAGGCTGCTGTCGAACATCTGGCTGGGGAGGAGGAGAGGAGAGCTCAAACCCACTCTGTTCCTTGAGCCCCTGATGCAGATGGAATGGGGGAGCCAGCGCTGCACCAACCCCACTGGTGCATCCAGGAGGCAACCTGGCGACATCCTTTGGATCTTCAGCTGAGGGTGTCTCTGCTTGGAGGTATCATCCAGGGCACAGCTCGCGAGGACGGGGAAGGCGGCACAGAGTGCTTCTGTCCTGAAGGCAGGGGGAGGGCAGGAGGAAGAAATCCAAGAGGGAGAAGGCTAGACAAACACACCAGGCCTCATGCTTCCTTCAATAAAGGAATATCTGAATGGTGGGGAGAGAAGAAAGAAAAAGTAGTCAACACTTTTGCAGTTCAACAGACACCAGAATAACTACCACTGAAAGCAAGACAGGTTCCCACTTCCATAATGTTAGGATGCAGTGGTCTTCCTGTCATCACAACACAGCAGAAGGGACCTCTGGAGGGCTCTGCTTCAACCTGCCCCTGTGAGCAGGACCATCGCCAGCTCCAGCCTTGAAACTCTCCAAGGACAGATACTCCATCACCCCTCTGGGTGCCCGTCTGGTCCTGCACTACCTCTTAGCACAAAATATTATCCTAATGCCCAATATGAATCTGTCAAGGTGCAGGTTGTGGCCATTGCCCCATGTTATATCATCTGGCTGAGAAGAGTTTGGCTTCCAGTCTTTTCAACTCTCTGTAAAGTAACTGTAGTTGGCTTGGCCTTCAGCTGCTGCTTCACCAGATTAAAGAAGCCCATCTCCCTCTACCTACAAGCCCCTGGCTACCTCAGCAGGGCTCCAACAGAGCCTGTCCAGTTTCTCTGCATCTCTCTTGAACTGGGGGTTCCACAACAAAACACACCAAAGCCTCACCCATGCTGTTTAGGGAAAGGTAATAAGTTCCCTTAAGAATAACTTTCCTTCTTTCCCACAACCTCATCAATTTTTTAGTTCCTCTAAATGTCTGAGACATGTTTCTTACTGTGACAGGGATGGTTGGAGATACAAGGATCACACCTGCCCTTATCCAACTTGAAGAAATGCAACCCCCTCAGTAGCTGCAGCTTCCTCCTCTTTGAGCCACAAGCACAAGCTTTATGATCCCTCCTGCCACAAGGGGCAACCTGCCCCTGTGCAACAGCCTCAGAGGCAATGCACGTTTCAGGCAGTGATAAAAATGACACAGTGCAGAACCAACATCCTCAAATTTCTACACTGCAGTCATTGTTTGTTAAGCTCCACTTTTGGATTTCTGCTGTTTACGCACTTGAGGCTTAATGCCCATCTCAGGACATGCCACCACTTCTACCCTTTAGCAGAAAACCCCTTTAACCGGTTTTACTGCAAGGGTTCTGGATGGCATTACAACAGTTGCAGGGCTTGACACCACAGAGAGGAGAAGTTCTGCCCTGAGCTATCTACAAGCCAGTTATGCTTCTGCCTAAGATACAGCAGTCTCTGCAGAAGCAACTTTAAGCTGCAGCTTCAGATCAGCTCTAGGACCATAAAGCCACTCCTTCAGGGCAGAAGAGAAGTCAAGGATGCAAGATGCACTAACTGATCAACAGACTTGCCCCTCTGCCCTCTACAGTAAGTTCAAGCACACCCTTTTTAAGTCTTCTCGCATGCCAAGGCTGCGGCAGTGCGTGCACTGTGGAAGCAGGCTGCTTACTAAAACAGTCTAAAAATGAAGAAGGCCAAATATCAGAAAGGGTTTGTATTCCAAGCATATCCTCCCACCAAGTCATTTTCCACAAACACAGCTATTTTCCTGCATTCGCACTGCAATGCTGGAGGCTGGCATTCCTCTGCAAATCCTTTGCTAAGACAACAATAGTGAGCAGCAGAACCCCGACAGTCTTTCCAGACTGCCTGAGGCTCCCAGTCTGAGAGCACCGCACACTTCAGGAGGAGGTATTAAATACTGTTTGTGCATTTCAGTTGTGAAACACGCCATGGAGAACGGGACACCTCTTTTCAAAAGCTTCTCCGGTGCCCAACACACATCAGGGCATTCCTTGCCATTTTCATCCTAGGTATCCAGCTGCGGAACCTACTCTTACAAGGGTCCCCCTTGTGTGCTCCTTGCTCACACCACTTACCATCTGTGTATTCCTCGGAGGAAGTGAGTGATAAAAGGCTCTGTATGTCACTGCTTTCTGAATCTTGGACCTCTTTGTGTACAGCTCTACTGCTAGCCATGCCAGCTACCCAGGAAGAGGTAGCAGCCTGATGCACAAGAACAGTTTCAGAGCGCTGAGAGCCACTGGCTTCACACAGTCCAGAATGTCCAGGGGCTTCATCTTCTCTTTCAAGGCTACTGCGAGCCCCTTGGTCCTGCTGCTGCATCTCTCTGGCTCCGTTCTGCCCAGCTCCCTCCGAGAGCACAATCTGCACTCGGGAGTCCGAGGGTGGAATGCAGTTCCCTGTGCTGCCATACACCGCTTCTTCGTAGGATGGCAAGGCCACTTGGACACCATCCACCATGATGGAGACCTGATCTCCAGACACACCTTGGTCTCGCCTCAAAAAAGGAAACGAAAAGGAGGGGAGGGGGGAAAAAATTGATATCAAGTTGAGCATTGTTACCAAGATCTCCAGTAACCCCCCACAGCAGAACTCTAATGCTCACCATTGACAGGTGAGAACAAACAGAAACATGAATGGTGGTATAACAAGGTCAAGCAACCATGGCTTTGCATCCCTACTGCGAATTGCTACCAACAGGAGCAGGGGCTGTAATTCACAGTGCCCAAAAGATTTAGATTTAGCAAGAGCTGAAAAGGTTACAATGCCTCCCACCTCACCTGCCTCCGAAGCTAAATCTGACAAAGATGGTGACTCAGAGCCCTCTGCTGTCACAGCTCGTGGATAAAGAAGAGCTCTGACCGTGGCTGGTTCCAGCTTGTCACACTGCTGTGTTCTGCAACACCCAGTGCTGCTGCCTGTCCTGCCACCTCTGCTGCTGGCGAGATAACCTCTGGCAGGGTGGAGCAGACAGCTCTTAAATCTGAGTGTGAATCACATAGGCTCGTGAGTCAGAGTCCCAAATTGATTTTTCCTTTCCAGTGGTTTGGACTTCTTCAGAAAAGGGCACACTCCAGAGCCCCACCTCTCAACCTCCCTGCTGCTGGATATGGCTCCTCCACAGCTCTGCTCTTATTCAAGGAGTACTAGGAGCTCTCTTGGAAGAGTGAGTCTACAGTGACTTTGTTGACCTCAGCTGGCAGCAGTGTTATGGCTGAGTCCCTCCTCTCACCTACAAACCCCAGGCCAAGGAGGGCTCTCCTCCCATAACATGGAATGATGGCCAATTTGCACGTGTATCTGATGAGCAGTACTGTCAGCATTTGTGTCCATGGGATCTCACAGAAACTTGAGGAGATACATCCATTCATACACTCAGACATAGCAGCAGCTACCCAAGGCTGGAAAAGGCAGGAGATTGATCTATAGCCAGTCTAGCAGGGATCATAACTTTTCACATTCAAGGCCAAGGACAAAAGAGTGAGGAAACCACTCATCAGACAGCATGTTAGAATGGGGACTGCAGCCAGGTGTCACAGATGACCATTTCAAACCACTGCTGGACCAGGGAGCAGAGGTGCCACTGAGGAATTAAAATAGGAGCAGAGAAGCGAGGAGTTAAGTTGCTCCAAAATGAAGGCTTAAACCAAATACCTTAATGGGTTTCTGCTGCAAAGAAACAGGTTGCCTCCGAGCCCCTCCAAAGCCCAGCTACACTTACCTGCTATGATGGAATGACTTCAGCTTTGGCTGCAGCAAAACAAACAGCACAACTAAGAGCAGAATCAGGGCGACGGAGCTTGCTGTGGAGGCTACTATGGACAGCGTGGGTACTCCAATTGCTGGAGGAGAGTCCTTTTCTGCAAAATCAAGAGGAACATAAGGTAAAACAATCCACTCCCTTAAATTACTGCCATAGGAAAGGAAAAACAACCACAGTGCCTGCCCTCAGGAGTTACACTTGGTGCACACGTGAGAAGCCCAGGTTTCCCACTCAGTCCAGGCACACCAGCTGTCTCTTACAGAGGACAGTTCAGAGCTCAAGCTGACACCTCTCCATCAGCTGCAAAGGGAACCTAAAACAAAACATGCACATACAAGAGTCCTTTGGAAAAACACAAGACAAACAGAAAAGCAGTGCAAGCAGGCCATGGGAACTGATAGATGGTGGTAAGGGTCATGTTATATATAGATCTGGCTGAGCAAAAGCTAAAAACAAATGTCCTGATGTCATCAGCAAGGCCAATACTTGTCTAGCACAATAAGCAGGATATTTTAGCCCAAACAACAGGCAAAGTTCCAAATAACGGCTTTTCTTGGCTAATGAACAGTCTTCCAAAGGAAGGGGTAGAAGGCACCTGGCTGGTATATTTAAGATGCAGCAAGTACTCAGTTTCTCTCTCACAGAAACATATGCCAGGGAACAGAGAGGGAAGGCAGATGTTGCTTCAGGATGTTGAGTTTTCAGTGTTAGACACATGTGCCCTGTTCACATCAGTCCTTCCTACCCTTCCTCAGCTCTGCTGTGTGACTGTATGGGAACCAATCTGGCTTTTAAAGGTCCCAGACAAGACAGGAATAAATTGTGAGTGGAGAGAGAACAGCCTGGAGCTGGTATTGCTAAGCACTGCATAACATGCCTAAAATGCTACACTAGTCCTTTCACCTCCCTAGAGAAAATAACTGCCTGTGTACGTGTTGCCTCTGTCCCTAATTTATGTCCTTGGTAGAGATCTGAAAAACCTCACTTCCCCATTGGCAAATGCCACCATGCATGTCACATTCAGGACACCCCCGTGTATCAGTTCCTCAATTCCTTCTTGCTACATTCAACACTTTATTCCAGAGCACAAGTCTCAAACTGCAGGGGGAAGCAGGACACACCTGCAGGACACACCTGCAGGTAGGGATAAGGGGAAGAAGAGCATGCAAACAGAAGAAAGAAGCTGGAGGACCACTGTTGACTACAGCCTGAAACCTATGCCCTGAAAAACCATGCAAGCTGGAAGGCAAGTTTGCATTTTCTGCATCTTCTCTTGGGGACAAATCTATTGATTTAGTTGTTTTAAACTTGTTTTCCTGAAATTTTTGAGAAGTAGCTTGACTTCTCCCCAGGGAAAAACAGTGTCTGGCACATTTTTCCTTATGGCAAAAATGGGTTGAGTAGGGATTTCCATTTTCAACATGACTTGGGGCACTGAGTACACCGACAGGGAAAAGGGTAGGCAAATAGAGGTGCTCTGTTTCCAGTGTCAATACACGATGCTGTAAAACTGCTCACTGCCCAGGGTACACTCCAGCACGTTCACCATCTCACCTTCCAACAAGATGCTCACTAACTCGTACAATAAACTCTCAGAAGGCTATGGGGCTGACAGGCTCAGAGCTGCACAAAACATCTGGTAACTGCTAGGGATTTCAGTCACTCTACATGGAGCAGGTGGGACCCTACCCATTACAATCATTTTAAGATGTACTACCTTCCTCTCTACAGTCTCCCACCTCCTCCTCCTTTTAACTCTGTGAAAGAGACCCACTAGTTAAACTTCAACTGTCTCTGACCCTGACCAGTTGTTTCAAAGCCTGAGCTGTGAAAGTAAAGGCTTTTTCACTGGATCAGACTTTTAAAGGCCCCATATTCTTGATAAGGCCACTGATCCTTCAGGATGCTAAAGAAATCTGAGGGATTGCTGCTCATCACAACACAGTCTCTTCAGCCTTGATGTAGACCAAGTGTCACCTTGCAGGAATAAGACCCAGGGAACACCACCTGAAATAGCACAGCTTTGTCCTCCAGCCTGGATGCAGCAAGAGGAAAGGAGACCACTGTGGGAAGGAAGCTTATGCTGATTTTGAAAGGCCTCTTCAGGATCTAGTTGCTGCCAGGTAAACTCCCAGTTCCCTTCCTTATACATCACAGGAAGGGGCTATTAGAGTGGCTGTGATAGACATTGAGAAGACAGTGTCTTTGGGACAGGACACGATGTTCCAGAGATCACAGACACACAGTGAGCTCCATAAAGAGCTTGAAGAAGGTGCTTTTCTGTTTCTTTCCAATGAAGCAAGCACATTTTGCTTTATGGATTACAAGACTTAATTCCAGAGTGTACATCTTGCTGACTCAGGATGACTGAGCAGCAAGACTCTATCAACAAGCCAAACTTGAAGAGAGGAGGGAGTTCTCCCTTTACCCAGTATGCTTGCTTTTAGAACCCGAAGAGACACAGGCAAATTAAGAGCTGCATGATGAACACTTTCCTGCAACCCTTTTCACTTTCCTGCTTTGATGGAGGAATTCCTGTTCAGCTGGGAGAGACCCACAAAACAAAAGCTGTCCACTTCCATTTGGAGAGAAGCAGAAAACATTTGTCAGCAATGTCCTTTCCTGACAGGCAATTCTGACTGTCCCACTGGAGTTGGGGAGTACTCACCCGGGCTGAGCCTACAGCTGACTTCCATGGCTGGGTTCCACTCTCCATTCTTGCAGGTCAGGTATTTATAATCTCCTTTCAGCATGTAACCTTCGACGCACAGATACTCTATGACACTGCCTGAAGTCAGAGGGTTGTTGCAGGGGCTGGGGTGGCATTTATAGCCTCCATTCTCAGGCTGTGGTGGCTGGGGACAATCTGGAAAAAAATAGAAACATCATGGAGGATCTCTCAGAGGAAGACATCTGTTGCACACCAGATCTGGCACGTAGGCAGACTTCCACCTACAAACACCCACTAAAGTAAGAATCTACCAAAACCCAGAAGACAGACACAGTGGCAGAGAACACTGCTCAGTTTCACCTCTGACATGTCTTCTGCGATTGCTAAATGCTGCTTGTTACCCCAGTAGTACAATTCAGTTGGCAGGCATCAAACTGCTGATATTTTTGAATGGTGACATGTAAGTTTGTCATAACAGAGATTCCACATGAGAGGCCAAAACAATCCTTGGTGCTATCTCTTCCCCACAGCTGTTCCACTGGAGACTGGTGGGACCTAACAACCAGGCTTTTCTATTAGCCTGATGTGGAAAAAGCATGAGACCCCCTACTGAAACGAATGAAGAATGCAAACACCCCACTGTACTGGGGATACAACGTCAAGATGCAGAGCTACCCCCTAAGGCACCCTGGAAACCCATAAGAGCACACTGAATTTAGGTATTTTACACAGATATACCACCAACAATATGGGGAACTGAGCTTTGCTGCAATACGACCAAATATTCTGGCTTATTTTTTAAAAGTAATTAGTTTTATTAGAAAGACATTTCTAAAAAACCCTGTTTACTTATGTGGAGTCTGGAGCACAGAAGGCACTTTACATTTCTGCTTGCATCTCCCCTATCCTGACTAATGGGTACAGACATAGCACACGCCAGAAATTGTCTGGTAGGTTTTTCAATAGCCACTCAAATAAAACCAACAAATCACGAATGAGGAAACTGCACAGAAAACAGGATATGTGTATTGCTTAGAATTTCCTCTCTGGCAGGTCACGGTGACCCTGCAGAACAGCCCCAACATCCACCACTGACGCCACGTATCTGCCTGGCTGAAAGAGGAAGAAATCCAGTTTTTTTCTTTTTAAATCCATATCAGCTTCCCAAACTTCACAAAAGAAAATACATCAAAGATCCCTCCTGAGGTATTTTGGGGCATGGAAAACCAACCATCCCACCCACCCTATTCCACCACAGCATGGTGATGTAGGCCTGCCCTGAGCTCCTGGAGCAAGCGTTCCCAGGTTCTGCCTTCAAGTGTCCCACTTACTGTGGGACAAACAGCGAGAAATAGTTGGGCAAAGTTCAGGTAAGGATTTTGGGCAAGATTTAAAAGTAAAAGAAAACTTTAGAGATTCAATTTCACTGTGGAAAAATTTGCTACGTTGCTGCAGTGCAAGTGACCCTTGAACCTAATCACATGTGTGAATGTATCATAGGTAGTGCCTTGTAAATGCCAGTAAACTCCAAGATGAAGTGCTGAGTGAAGCCAAAAGCCCTCTGGTATGAGTTGTGCCAGCTTTGTAACTGCAATTCAATTTACTTCTCGAGAGAAAAGGTTAACAGGGGTCTGAGCAGCAGCCTTTCAAGAAGACTTTGTTCTTAAGGAGATTTATTCTTAAATAAGCTTCAGAGAAGCCACTGTCCCATGCCTTGTGAGCATTAACTGCTGCCTCTTCTGTATTTATTTTTCCTTTCTGCAGTAATTTCCCATTTTGTAACCAAGGTTTTAAGCCTTTGCCTCATGAAGCTAAAACCTGCTTTCACTTTAAGCTTGTCCAACACTCAGGATCAGCTGAAGCAACAGACTCACTGCCCATTTCACATTCAGGCACATTGGCAAACGCCCTGCCCCATCTGCAGCCCAAGAGTGGGGCATTTCCTGCTAAATTGTGGGGACCTATTTGAGCACTAGAAACATTCTCAGCAGTTTAGCATTGCCTCTTTAGGCAATGGTAGAGAGTAGAGCACTGTGGGGTAAAACTCCTGTTGCCACAGCAGCTGCTGAAACTTGAAGCAGATGGGACAACTTCCCCACACTGTTTTATGCAACAGGAGGCACCTGGAATTGCTTGGGAGCCACACACAGCATCTCTCTGCTAACTGGCTGCAGCAAAGAGAGTTCATTCCCTCTGTTCCCCCATCTCCTGGCCATACCCACGCGTGGCCATCCCACCAGGAGACCTTTTGGACCAGGCAGTGGCTCACTGTTCAGTTCCTCATTTATTGTAAAGTGCCACCTACACTGATGAGGTTTCTGAATTACGTACAAAAATCAGCCAGCAAACAAGAAACAAATGCTCATTTGCATCACAGCAGTGCTCTCAAAAGCTTGGAAATACCACCACCTCAGCGACCTACAGAACCTTGACTTGGCTTCCTCATGCAAGGGCTTCAGAAGGAGAGGTGCAGCTACACAACTGCAGATTGGTTTCCTCCCCACCTCCACAGGCCACTTGGCACAAAAGGAGAGAAGCAGCTGATAAGTGTGTTCAGTCAGTTGTCCCTGACTCGTCCTCTTCACACAGGGAAGAGACTGCAGAATTCGTCACCTCCCCTTTTTTTTTTCCCCACACCTCCTCAGGTCATTTGTCATCACAGCATCCAAAAGCATCACAAGTATTTTAAAATGTCACCTTCATGGGACAGAAAAAAAAGCTGCTTATGTGCTAGGGAAAAAAAAAGTCTGGATCAGGCAGCCAGAACATCAACAGCCTCCACCCTCCACCTGACTGAGCATCTCCGGGCAACCCCAACTGGAAGACCACCTGAACTGTCCTTTGCAAGGCACCCTCATGGGAACCGAGCATCTTGGGGGCCTGCAGCTTTGGAAAGGGCTACTAGACAGTGCTGATGACTTTAAAGATTGCTGGAGGTGGCCCAGGCAAGGGCTGGGTGGGGAAATGATGCACTGCTGGTGCCTGGAAAAAAGCTGAGGAAGCCAAATATCTGCTCCCTGCTGGACCAATTCCCTTTCCCTGGCATCTCCGAGCGCTCGGCATCTCTGCAAACCAGGGCCCAGCCCAGCCTAACACAGGCACCCAGAAAGCTTGGGACAGACACTGCAGCTTTCCACTACAGCGACCTAAGTTTTCAGTCCCCTCAGCTTTCACAAGCCCCGTAAGGGGTTTATTTAATTGCCTCTGTATCAGGGGCTAAGAGAAGAAAAGGCAGAGTCTGATTCTGCACCATCCTTTATCTCCAGGAGCAGCAGAGTGTGCAGCACAGGCACGCCCATGGCAATACAGAACCAGGCAGAGCAGCCCATCTACCACTCCTGACAGCACAAACCTGTGACACCCCAGGGATGAAAAGGGCTGGGTGCCAGCTGCTGCCAGAATGCCCGTCCAGAGCTGCCTGCTCTGCTAGAGAGCATGGATGGCAATAGCTGCCTGCATGACATGTTAATTAGCACTCCAGAGCGTGGCTGTGCCATGGAGGTTTGGTACCAGGTTTGGGTACCCAGCTCACCAACCAAGCTCCCCCTCGCCAGGAGCTCTGCTCGCTGTTACCCTCAGCAGTGTCTGCACACACATGGGGTGGCCCAGCCCAGAGTGCTGCTGTTCAGGTATTGCTTTGGCACACCAACACTTTTTGGGGAATGTGGAGTACACCATGGGGAAAGGCTTTTCAGCCCTAAGTAAAGCTGGGCAGATTTCAAGGGACACAGCAAAACCATGACCCCCAGATTTACTCCTTGCAAGTTCCAAGGGAGTGTGGCACAGAGCGGACACACTGAAGCTTCCCCAAAAGGTTACAAAAACCCCTTTAAATTTGTGGGACGCTTTAAGTAGATATCTTGTAACCATCGACCCCCCTTCCCAGCAGCATCAGCCTAGACTCACAATGGCACTGGGTTACTTGAAAGGCAGAGAAACACGCAGGGATTTTTCATCAACTCCCTCCCTGAAACACATGTTCTTGGAAGTATCCCAGAGCTTATGAGACATCTTAAAACAAATGTTCACGCCAGGCAGGGAAGAGAGAGAGCGCCAAGTTACAGAAGTTATCAACTTCCTAAGGGGTTACCAACACTGTAGGCTTACAAAGCTATTCCCTGCAACTTGATTCATCGAGCTTTGAGGGTGCACAGAAACAGTGGGTTTGCTGATGTATGAAGGGGGCAGAGCTCTACTGCCAAAGGTTCCTACGAGGTAGTGAAGTTTATGACATCTCCCGAGAGAGCTGGTTCTCTGCCAGCATTCACTGCTGGAAAACAGGAAGGAGATAACAACTGACAAGGAGTCCAAACATTTTGAACATCACTGAACTCTTGTTCAGAGGTTAAAAATCTGTCATTTCCAGACTGACAGGCAGAAAGAGTTATACGCTGGAGTTTCTGCAACAATGCCATTCCATTAAATACTAGGTATTTAATATATAGACAATTTTTTATACATAAATGAAAAAATATTAAGCCAGTATGCACCTCCACTCAGTTTCCCATCAAATCATCAGTAAGCACCATATTCTTCTGTGCCTAGGTCGCGTGAGAAAATCCTGTCCTCCTTCAAGGAGGGTTAACTGTTTGGGTTCTCTGAAGAGCTGTTAGCAACTTGACAATAAGCAGCACAATACTAAGGAAACTCCTTTTTTTTTGCCACCAGTGTCATCACACTATGCCTCCCCCAGCCCCCTTTCCCACAGCTCCACTTGCTTTCTCTTCTACCACGTTCACAGACAACTGTGAGGGGCTGCAACATGGGCTTCTTTTGGAGCAGTAAGAAATGTTACTTTGCCAAACTGATTAACTAATCACCAAAGGATGAAATCTTGGCTGAGCTGAAGCTGAGCCATGGTCCTGAACGCCAACCTGATGCAGAGCTACAAAGTATTTCTAAAATAATGCAAAACCAACACAAAAGTAGGCCATGGTCACAGACAATACCACAGATGGAAGTACGTGACATTTTGTGTGCCAACATAAAAGTGAGGGTTTTACATAAACCACAGCAGATGCACAGTTGAGCCTTGATCTCCAAGAGCAGAATCCACAGATAAGCAGATGATTTCCGAAGCCCAAGCAGGATGAGCCTGTTGTGGTGTGGATCAAACACAATACACTCACACATATAACGTAAGATTAAAACATACTTCAGTCTGACTGTATAATTGCCACAGAACTCTAAAAGCT